GAATTCTTTTGTCTGCAATTATATCAAAATTACCAGTGATTATATGGCCAAAATCTGAATTACAGAATTTAGAAGTATTGCAGTCTCAAGTTGTTGGAGTATTAGACTGAATATCTAAGTCAGAAACCACTTTATTGTAATTAAATATGATATTTCTAACAGGTTTCTTATATTTATAGCAAATAATTGGTATCTCGGAGTTTTTGAAGTATAAAGGAACTGAATTAGTGACACGTTTATCACGAAAAATACTTGGTAAATCGATGAAATCAATACCTTTATTAAGAAAGGTTACTTTTAGGAAATGCCTGTTGTGGTCAGAAGTGTTGTCGATATGAGGTCTTAAGACGTGCTGAGTATATATTTGAATAAGATAAGCTGCTGTATATAAAGGATCTGTTTGTCAAAGATGACAAACTATAACAACTTTTCACCAGCATCTGGTAAAAATAAAGCTAATATTGACAGTGAAAAATTCAGACTAAATATGTTATCCGTTCTACCAAATGCTGGGTTCCATAAAATGTTCCCAAAGCCACCCGTTTCAGAGGAAATTAAAGCCCAATGTTGCTTGCCAGAACCCATGTTGTGTTTTCAACCCAATGTTGACATTGAGAGTGATTTGTTTCAAGAACATATAATTGAATATGAGAAGACTTTGGTCTTTGACCCTATAAGGGTAGAAGAGTTGACTAGAGGTCAAAGGAACAATGATGCTTGGGAACTTGCTAGGAAAGGGCGCCTCACTGCATCAAACTTTGGAACAATAGTAAACTGTAATAAAGTGACTTCTGTTGTGAAATCAATAATGGGGTACTACAAGTTTGCCTCAACAGATGCATTGGAGTGGGGCAAAAAGAAGGAAAAGGTTGCACTGGCATTGTACACCAAAGAAATGAAAAAAATATACAGTAATGTCAGTGTAACAGAGTCTGGATTGTTGATCCATCCAAAGTACACATACATTGGTGCTAGTCCGGATGGTGTTGTTACATTAGGTGAGGAAACTGGCCTTGTGGAAATTAAGTGTCCTTTTAAGTTTAGACATTCCACACCAGAACAAGCTGCTGAAAATAAGACTTTCTTTTGTAAAAAAAATAGTGATGGGTCAGTTTCTTTGAAGCCAGAACATAAATATTACTCCCAAGTTCAAGGTCAAATGGCTTTGAAAGGATGCGAGTGGTGTGATTTTGTGGTATGGACCACAAAAGGTATGTCAATTGAAAGGATTTATTTTAACATTGACCTTTGGAACCTGTGAAGTTCTTTTATGATATTATTATTCCAGAAGTGTTCACAAGAAAAATAAAGAAAAGTATGTGAACACTTCTGGAATAATAATATCATGAAAGAACTTAACAAGGCATGAAAGTGTTGAATTCCAAAGGTCAATGTTAAAATAAATCCTTTCAATTGACATACCTTTTGTGGTCCATACCACAAAATCACACCACTCGCATCCTTTCAAAGCCATTTGAAAGAAGAAGGGACACCATTGGGAGTTATTCCAACTAAAACTTTCCAGGTCATATGTGACTTATAATTTGAATAAAGGAGCGTCTTTGCTTGATCGGATTCTGGTGTTTCAGACCTGAGTTCGGTGCAGTCCAAAATAATCCTTGTGTCCGGGTATCGAACCTTAAAGCATTCGGGCATATTTGATACAATTGCTCCCTTGCTTGGCCATGGCATGAGTTTTGGAACAAGTTCTTCAACAAGGAGTCGAATCCAAGTTCTACAGATGCTACTACACGTAGAAACAGAGATTTTAAACCGTTGTGATAAGTCTTCTTGCAAAAGTCCTAATCGTAGACGCATATACACCAGAAAAAATTCATCTACCAGCCGTAACTTTCTCATAGGACCTGGTTTCTTTGTTCCTTCTTTTTGGTATTTTTTCTCTAAACTGGAACCTTCACCTTTCCAATATGACATAGAGCAGGCAATTGGTTCAAGGGCATTGAAAACCATCATAAAAGCTGCTAATGAAGGGAAACCTGTGTAAAACATTACACTTTCATCACTTTGTAAGTCTTCAATTACTAAATCTGGTAGACCAGTTTGAATACATTTATCAGTCATAATTGGTTTTGGATGTGGAGTGCTTTTCTCACATCTGCACTCTACAGTATGTTCCGGTTTGGGGGGCTCTGGATCTGTCTGGCTGTATTTATCCATCAGGTTTATTGTAGGTGCATCAACATCACCTGAAAATTAATTAAATGTAGTTGAGTAAATCATTATGGATTTATATACATGAATATGGGAGGCAGTGTGTACAAGATACTCATGCTAAGACATACCTATCAAACATTTTCATATATATTAATTATCATTTAGGCTATATGTATGTTAAGATAACATATTAAATCATACCATTTTAAAAATTAATTATTATCCTCTTTTTTAAGTATTTGTAAGAGGGTTTTTAAAGAAGTTGGACAAGATCATTTAGTTTAAACATATTTATTTAGCTTGATTGTGAAGTAAGTTCTGACAACTTATTTAAATCACCCTCGAGTCTGCTTCCTGGAACCAACCAGTACTGGTGTTAGATGAGGAATCATGGTTGTGCCCCTTTGTGGGGTTCGAACCCAAGATCCTGAGGTTGCGAGGCAGACAACTTAACCATTAGGCTACCGCACCCACATGATCATTATAATGCATATCTATTATAATGCATGTCTAAGCTTTACAAAAAAAAACAATGTCAAACCTGCATAATCATGCATGTGGATTGATGTATTCAGACAGTGATTTTCATTCAGAACCAGATTTCCAGTACCATCCGGAATTAGCCCTTCAACGTCATCTGGCCCCTGTTCCTCCATCTGTTTTGTTTCCATTGGATCAGGTTGTTTTACAACAGGTGTACATATGGAATCATCATCTAGCTGTTAAAATATCAGATATATAATCATTTTCTAATTTTCTATCAAAATTTATAATAATCATGCTGACTTGGCTTATATTCCTTAACTTGGCTTAAGTTACATTGTACATAAATATTAAAAATTATTTTAATGAATCCATTAATGCATCTAAAAATAAACAACAAAAAACTAAAAAAAATCCATTCCATAATAACTGATAACATAGCATGAAAACATAAACAATCTTATAACACCTGTCAGCTGATGACCTACTTCAGAATGTGTAGTCTGGAATTTATTACGTCACGCACGCGCTTACATGTCTATATTTAGTGTATTGTAAATTGTAAACAATTATTTAAATCTGCTGTCCAAATAACACTTACTGTATAGGATTTGTAAATCTTTTGAGGAAATATGCTTGGTATCGGAATGTTTGGTGTTGGACCTAGAGATCCCACGAAATGTGCGCTACATAATCTTGCAGTCTTTAGCTTATTGTCCGTCCAAACAAAATTTTTTCGGTGATTTTTTACATTTTGCACCCAAATTTTTCTAATCTTTGAAACTGCGAAAAATCTGTGCATAGATATCTTCTTTCCATTTACTATTTTCCCAGAAAAATTAGAACATCCTTGTGCACAACAATATATTTTCCCCATTGTTTACATTTGGTTGCTGATGCTGAACTATCCGGAAATGGATAGCATCGTTTGCACATGCGCTCTGGTGCCACGGGAAGTAACTTTCGTAGACAAGAACGACAACTATTTACAAACAGCGAATTGGGCTATACCAAAGAGTTATATCATTTTGGACGAAACTGATAAATTGTTCGAGCGAAAATATTGACAAACTATATAGAAAGGTTTACAGCATGTTATATGAAATAAATACTATAAACAATGTTAAGTCTCAATGGATCGAAAATGTTAGAAATTTGTTGTGTTCTTCAGGTTTTTCAGGAGTATGGTACTGTCAGAGTTCCTTAAATGAGAAATGCCTGATTGGGTCAATTTGCCGAAAGTTTAAAGATATTTTTATACAGAAATGACGTCTGATATACAATTAACATCAAACACGAATATTTACAAAGGTATTAAAACTGAGTTTGGTAGAAGTGCTTATCGAGACGTAGCTTATCAATTATGCGTTTTTTACTAAAAATCATAGGCTACCTGTGGAAACAGGGTATACCTTCTTTTGAAAGAAAATGTTCTTTTTGTAATGATGATGTAGGTGACGAATTTCATTATTTGTTCACATGTCAAAAGTTTTTTGAGGAAGGAAAAAAGTATTTAAAACTGTATTTTTATGTTAATCCCAATTTTTTCAAATTAGAAGAATTGTTTAGTAGTAAAAATAAAATTTTACTGAATAACTTAGTATTTTTATCTAAATAATATCTAATGACTTGTAAGACTGGTATGCCTGGATTGCTCGTTTACTTGAAAAATATATCTATATGTCATACATATTTTGATTTGCAATGTTACATGTATGATTTGGACATGTTTGTCATTCTCTATTAACATAGCACTTGTTAATATGCCGCCATTATTCACTGTAATTATTACAAATTGAAGTTTATGGTGACATAAAGTTTTTTAAAGTGCATTCATTTTATATTGTTTTACGGAATTTAGTACGGCTCAAGACACAGACTTCTGTAGATATTTTTAGCCAATCAACAAACCATGTTTTATCACTTAGTCTGATTAACCAATCAAAATTAACAAGTCATTAGTCTCTGTTTACTTGGCGTGTGTGAAACGCTCGCAAAAAATTTCTTGACAATTTTGAAAAAAAAAACATCAGTTTTGGATAGATTCAAGGTTATCCATTTACGTTATTTGTTACTCATAAACTTTCCTGACATTCAGGACTAAATATTCTCGGGCGGCGACCTCGTTGTATAACTTTAAAATGGGCGCAAAAGTGGCATTTACTAGCACTGTGAATTAATTTTAATCTGATAATGTAATTCTCGTGAACGAGACTTCGTACGCGACTTCCGACGAGACTCAACATGGCGGCACCCAGTTCGCAGAAGATACAAATTTTCGGACACTCTTTCGAACGGCGTTTGAAACGATTTATTGTGGACTCAAAATCACACTATTTTCATCTTAATTTGGATGGGTCTCCCCTTATACAGTATTCATGATTCCCAGGTGCAACTGTGCAGACATTACGGGACTATTTAGATGAAGTTGGTGATTTCCAACCTTATATGTTACTTCTTGTTATCGGAACCAACGATATTTTTAACCCAAAGGAATCTCCGGAAAGTGTTACAACACACATTTGTGATTTAGTGGACACGTTACTCTTTGTTATTGGAGTTGAAAAAGAAATAGTGTTTCAGATCTTACATAGATTAGATTCCACGGGACAGTCTCGTTATAAAGGGTTTCTGTTCCCTAGATTGTAAAGCGAGAAACTTTGCTGCAGATGGTTGCCACCTATCCCATACAGGACAACTCCGGTTTACATGCAATATACGAGCAGCTATTGTCGCCGCCTGGAAGAAGTCCATTTGTTAAGATGCGTACACATTTCATATCATATAAAAGTTTATTTTATATGCCAGCTTATTACTAAAAATGCTTATTCGCATATCAATTATTGTAATAGAATTTTTTAAACCTTCAATGAGATTAAAAATAATTTGATTTGACAGCCTATACCACATACACATGGCTTAGATTTCGAAATATAACCATCTTGAACAATATTTATCGCATTAAATGTATTTGGTTATCATGGATTGATTTATAATTTATTGATTTATTTCAAGCCTGGTGATACCTTGAAATAAACTCATACAAATAGTATGGCATAGAGTTTTATAGTTTATACATCTGGCTTTGCTTTTTACTTCACAGATTGCTTAGTTGAATCGCAGAGCTGCTTAGCTGTATTTTTTTTTGCATGACTTAGTTTACACGCCTTGCTTTTTGTTCAATTTTAAGTGCAGTTACTTGGCATTGCTTAGTTTACACGCTCTGCCTTTTATGTGATTTCACAGACATTATACTGGGTGCAATGCTTAGTTAAAACGCTCTGTTGCTCTCTTGTCATTGCTTAGTTTACACGTTCTGCCTTTTATGTGATTTCGTAGACATTAAATTGGGTGCAGGGCTTAGTTAAAACGCTCTGCTGCTCTCACGTCTGTCTTTATATAGGCATGGCCTAGTTAACGCGCCTTGCCATGTGATCATCCATTTGCTTAGTTTACACGCTTTGTCATTTTCTTAATTATCTTCATTTATCGCCACTACTTTATCAAAAAGCTTTTCCACTGGTTTGTTGGTAATCAATGTTATAAATTCAGGTCACTTTGTTAGTGCTCTTCATTATCTCAATTGACAGATTATTTATATTACACATGGCTTGTTTGTACTGCAAACATCTAAGCCTTAAATACCTAACTGCGTATTTACCACACGGGCCAGCAGTCAAGCTTTTCTCTGATGAAAGGACTTTAACTTTCAGATAATATCAGTTTTAATGGTTATTTGTTTTTTTTCAGATGAAGCCAGGCAAAAGAACGGCAACAAAAGCGACTTGTTCATGCTGCCCGCCGCCTCCAGCAAAAAAACAGTGCAACCAAGTCAAAAACAAGAGCTAAGAACAATGTTAGTGCTACAATAACCATTTTTGGATGTAAGTGATTTCATGGTTGCTGGCCCTCGTCTTGGCAGGCTAAACATATTACCTTCAAAGAATTAGTTCCCTTAGTTTTGGCTGTTGAAATTTGGGGACCCTTTCTCCAAAGTCATTGAATTGTTCTTCATACTGATAATGAAGCCGTAGCCTATATCATAAACAAACAAACATGCAAAATCTCTGATATTATGGCTTTGGTGCCTCGGATTATACTTGCGCCTTCTACAAAAGCAAGCTACAAAAATGCTTTACAGCACTACATATTTTTTTCATAATACTTATTACCCAAATGCTTCTTTATTCCCAGTCTCAACGAAACAACTGGCTCGGTTTATCACTGTTTGCCAACATCGGGGTCTTAAACATTCTACAATAACCTCATACATGATGCCAGCACTATTAAGTTTTGAGAATTGAGTACCGCTCAAGCCGGTGCTAGAGGGCGTGAGGAATGTTGCACTCATTCATTATCCGTCATGTACAGACTCAATCAAACCGAGTCTGCAATTCTCTTGTAATTTTGTTGTGATTAATGCTTCCGATGGATCACTTTTTTTCCAGATATTTATACTTCACAACAGCAGGAGGTGTCAAGCGCTGTGTGGCAGCTGTAAAAAGTTGCCCCGTACTTCACTTCAGTGTTGTTATATTTTTCTGGTCCCTCGGGATCATTGATGCCAGCACTATTAAGTGTTGAGAATTGAGTACCGCTCAAGCCGGTGCTATGGTGCGTGAGGGATGTTGCACTCATTCATTATCCCTCATGTACAGACTCAATCAAACCGAGTCTGCAATTCTCTTGTAATTTTGTTGTGATTATTGCTTCCGAAGGATCACTTTGTTTCCAGATTTTCATACATGTCAGCAATAGGTTACGTACATAAGTTACATAATATGGTCAACACTTCAGATTCTTTTCTTGTTAAAAAGCTGTTAAATAGTTTGAGACGTCATTCACAAAATGATAAACGTCGTCCGTTTACTATACAGCAAATGCATTCAAGTTCTTAAATATATGGTCTGCGACCGTTACACGTATATATTAATGCGATCCATGTTTTTAGTGGCTTTTTATGGCATTTTTCGGGTGGGTGAAATAGCCTATTCGCCAAAAGGTTCATATTACATGGTGCTACGGGAGAATATATCTTTCGTATATAACCACTCCCAGACGCATACACATATTACATTGAAAAGTTACAAACATTCGGTTGGTAAAACGACTAGTGTCCCTGTTTCAAGTCAAAAGGATAGTAGGCTATGTCTAGTCATGTTAAGTTACTTAAGGAAAACATCTCACACGTCGGGTTTTCTCTTCATACACCAGTCTGGGTCACCAGTTACTGCTTCCTTCTTCCGCTCTATTTTAAAGTCTTGTGTAACTGCTTGTAATCTCGACCCTTTACTATTCACATCTCATTCATTTCGTATTGGTGGGCAACTGTTGCTCTTAACAACAATATGTCGATTCTAAATTTTCAAAAACTTGGCAGATGGAGGTCATCAGCTCACAAAAAGTACTTACGCCCTGCAACTTTACCTTTACATAAACACCAATAAAGATATTGTTAATGATTTGTCGGTTTTTTGGCAGCATATCTAGCTTTAATACACAAGTAAAAAATCCGACTGTTAAAGGCGGCGGATTTTAACATTTATCATTACATTTCATTGATCCACTATGTTACTTTGGGAAGTCTGTATATAATTAGCCCAAATAAATTTGACAGTTTAAGGCTGTTTATCTCTTCGGTGTGCCTGCAATGTTACATGTTTCTATATATATATGTATATAAATCTATTAACATACCGACGGTTTAAGGCCGCGGCCATTTGTTGTCAATTATATGTAGCTATCGTTACCTTTGCCTAGTCCATCTTTTTAAGATACATGTATTTTTCTGACGGTTTTAGACATGTTTCTATATATATGTATATATAACTGTAAACATACCGACGGTTTAAGGAAGCGGTCATGTGTTTTCAATTATATGTAGCTATCGTTACCTTAGCTTAGTCCATCTTTTTAAGATACATGTATTTTTCTGACGGTTTTAGGCCGAGGATCTTTTATTATGTTATAGTTTACAATTTACACAGTGTCATATTGCTATGTTGTTTACTTTGTATTCTAGTCTTTCAAATGTTCACATATTTTACACTGTCTCACATATACTTTCATGGTCTCGTTTTAATGTTTAATTTTTTGATAAGATATATAAATGCCCTATTTTCATTCAAATACTAGAGTTGTGTTTTCACTTCATCCATACAAGTGTGACCTTTTGTGACTTTCTCTTAATGGACAAAACATAAATAGAAGTTTATGGTGACATAAAGTTTTTTATGTCTTTGTGCATTCATTTTATATTGTTTTACGGAATTTAGTACGCTTAAGACACAGACTTTTGTAGAATTTTTTTAGCCAATCAACAAACCATGTTTCATCACGTGGTCTGATTAACCAATCACAATTAACAAGTCATTAGTCCTTGTTTACTTGGCGTGCGTGAAACGCTCGCAAAACATTTCCTAGCAATTTTGAAAAACCACCTCCTCCCAACGCCTCCTCCTCTAAAGTAATTGTCAAGTTTCATTTCAATTTATTAACTAATTTCCCTAATTCAGAAAACTTTTGCACGGGAAAAAGTTACCTTTCTAGCATGTAATTCTAACAAAGCTTTTTTTACTAACGGTATTGTTAAACATTATACTATGTGGACCTGTGGCGAAGTTTGTAGAGCACTCTCTTTTCTTTTAGACAATATTTATGTCAGGTTGGGTTATACTCTATTTTAACAGATCATAGGAATTCCTATGGGTACTAATTGTGTACCCCTGGTCGCCGATTTGTTTTTGTACTGCTATGAAAGAGACTTTATGTTGAGTCTCTCTGCAGATAAACAACAAGATGTTATAGTCGCATTTAATAATACTTCCAGATATCTTGATGATATTTTTAATTTAGATCATCCTTATTTTGATCAAATGGTGTCTGACATTTATCCACATGAACTACAACTTAATAAAACGAACTCTTGAAAATTTAGTACATCATTTTTGGATCTTCATATAGCTATCAACAACAATTCTATTCACACGAAAATCTATGATAAAAGCGATGACTTTGACTTTTGTATAGTTAATTATCCACATTTAGATGGAGACGTACCCCATGCAACATCTTACGGGGTTTATGTTTCTCAATTAATTAGATTCGCTAGAGCTTGTAGCAACGTAAAGGATTTCAACGAGTGGAATATTTTTATTACCAGCAAGCTATCATAAATTACGGAAATATTTTACTAAATTTTACAATCGTAACTTTGATTTAATTTCTAAATTCAATAGTGATTAAAAAACTCTTCTGCGACAAGGGATTAGCCAGCCTGGTTTTTATGGCGATGTGATTTACAAACTTCGTAAGATTTTGGGTCATGGTAATTTTTCTGCTGTTTTTACTAAAATCATTAAACGTTTTATTAAAAGAGGTTATGATCCTACTATTTTAAGACATACTGCATGTTTAGTGTTCAACCCTTTTACAGTTGGACACTACGCTTTCCTCATTTGATTACATCTGACGGACCAAGTGGGAGACTCTATGATAGATAGATCGTAAAGCCCTTTGGGACTGAATTGTCTTAATGTTCGTCTTCTGCCTTGCTTCGTCGGGCCCTTGTAGGTGATTTTCTTGTTGCTCTGTCTTCCTTTAGGGCATTGAGTACTTTTGTTATGGTCATTGGGTTTACTTTTATATGTTTCTACATGATCATTTTAGTGTTTACTTATTTAACCTTTTGTAACCATGACAACTGTTAGAATTTCACTTGGCGGGGATTCATTTTATTTACACTGTCTCGTTTATAGGAACATGGTGGGGCTAAGAGCGAGGTTTGGTGCACCATTAACCGGTTTAAACTCCCAAGCAGTCATTATTATGCTGCTGACCGTTCCAAGGCGGCGCCCCTCTGTGTTCCTCAGATGTATGTCTATGTTCTTTCTTACTGTTTTGGTGACACTTTTGCTTGTGTCCCTAATTGTTTTTTCGTCCACGGTAAGTCTCTTCCCCATTGCCTCTAGTTTTTATTTCATTGATTAACCCCCCCCCCCTTCCCCCGGTCTCCTGTCCCCTTCCCCTTTGTGGGCATATCATACTTTTCTTTGAATTCCTAATCAGGTACAAATTATTTATCATTTGATGATTGACCTGTCCGTGCCCTGTCTTGTTTTTGTTTGGGGTCCGCCTGGGCTCCTTGCCACTGGTTCTTGTTGCTTGGTCATATTGGGGTTGCGTTCATTGGACGCCGCCTTTCCTTGTTGATCTTGTTTATCATATTATATGAATTTGTAGTCAATAACTTACAGAGAACTTGGTAAAATATCTAGGAGATCCATTTAGGTGGTTTATCCGCCGAGATTCGATTAAAAAAACACGTAGTAAATCGGCATAAAACAAAAGAGATTTAAAATATATCTAAAAGATTCGAAAATGTTCTAGGCAATCTCCTTTTTAATGTTTTAACACCGTTATACTTACAGCTGTTGTGTAGAGATTAAACTTTCTAAATGGGCTAATCAAATTAATATGAGCAAAGTTGATAAAAGACTACCCAAATGCTACAGACAAAGTTTGGTGATCATTCATCAAGAAGATGTCTACTGGTTTTTCTTTTTTTAGCTCTAGAGATCCCACAAAGGGGCAAATCAAATTGATATAAGCAAACTTGCTAAAAGACTACCCAAGAATGCTACAGACAAAGTTTGGTGATCATTCATCAATTAGTTCTGTAGTAGAAGATGTTTGAAGGTTGTTTTTTTAACTCTGTTGACCTCTAAAAGGGATCAATTGAAATGACATGACCAAATTTAAGTGTGACTGTCACAAGGATGCTACAGACCAAATTTGAGGTAAATCTGCCCGGCAGTTTCAGTGAAGAAGACGATTGTTGACGCATGACGACGGACGCCGGAGTATCCTCCTTTGATACTGAACATTCGGTTCTGGTGAGCTAATAACAGTAAATCATAGAACACATTACACATTTTATTTGATGAATTAATCATAAAATTACAAAATTGTAACTAAATGTTAAACAAAATAGTATTCCTTCCTTTTTTGTCAAAATTAATTCAAATATTCATTCAATACAGGACAGCCTTTAATTTCACAAATCATCCTAATTTATTCAATGTGTATGTTATGAAGATCGAAAAGAGATGAGTAAATCTACTTGTGCAATTACTAGTTATACATAATAAATAATACTTTTATCTATGGTTCAACAACACATTTATAATAAAAGTTCTATGAAATTGAGTTACATGTCTTTAAAGCATGAAACAAAGGCATAACTTTTAATTTCATATCAGCAGATGTGCTAGGAATGTCCTTAACTTGCTCATGTTAATGGATTTGCAATTTGTCAAATCTGAAACATCCGTATTGTTGCCAGCAATGTAGACAATTTGTAATTTTAATCTTAATAGCTGGATGATTCAGCTCATTATTATTTTGCCTTACTGTTGGTTTTAAAATATTTTGACACTCTACTGATTAGATAAAGTTCATTCCGTCTTTTAAACTCTAAAAGTATCCATCTTTAAGAATTGTAAATAGTTTTTTAGTTGATTCAGGCTCATTTATGTTAGAATTGTATTCCTACAGAAGTTCAATTCAATCTTTTTAATCCTGCCCCTTTCAATTTCATGACCTGTACATTCACAGTCGGCACAGTTGAAGCGCCATAACGTTAGATATTTTAACTTTAGTTCCTTTATCATTGATGAAAGCAAACTCATTTCACTATGGGGCAGTCTACTGAACCCAATGTACATATATTTCACATGTCTAAACTTTGAAATTGTTTTACAGTCGACTGCATTAGAGAGGTTATTTGTAGACAATGAAATTACCGATTCGGGAATAACGCTATGCAGAAACGTCATTCCTGCTTTGCCATCAAAAATAACATCACAGAGATTGACGATCGGTGTATTTTCACAACCACATTCTGATAAACAATTGATAACAAGGCGCTGTAGTTGACTTGGTAGTGATTTATCGTGGTAGGCTCCATAACCTAACTTATGTCGATGCTTTGATATGGCTTTATCCTTATTGACTATTTCAGAGATTTTCTTTGTCAATGGTGTAATGGCACATGGCAACAAGCCGCATATCATTTTGAGCACGTTTTCTAGTGGTAATATACTTGCCACAGTTAAACATTTAGCAAAAAAGTTTCTTCAAAATATTTGCACTTTCACCATCATTGCCTGCATCTGTGATAGCATTTTCTTCCAAACAACAAGATGATACATAGAAAGCAGCAAAGAATTCTACGTAAGACATGTGTATAAAAGCTAACTCCGTTGATTCTTTAGTTGGATCATACGACTTTTCTTCAACTAGAATTCCTATTTCAATAAGAGCGTTAATGTCGACAGACGTAAGACCATTATCTAAAAGATACGATCGTCCAAAACTAGCACATGTAATATGTGAAGTAAAGGCATCAAAAGCAACAGAACCTACTGACAAGAGAAAGTTGCTTTCTTAACTTAAATCTGGGGGAATTCTGCAAGACGTCCAGGCAGTCTAACTTTCTTGGTTGATTTAATCTCATCCAGATCTTCATATTCATACTTGCATTCCGTCCATCCAAGCATTGCATTTAAAATCTGACAATAAGTATCGCATATGGATTTGTCAACATGTACTCCTTTGCAATATAACCACAACAGTTGCTGAAGAAGAAGTGGCGACTTCTCAACGTCCTTTATTTGATTTGCATTTGTTGCATCCATGAAGTCTTTATAAGATACATTTGCTTTTCTATTCTTGTGAAGATACACTCCAACAAATATTTTGATTGATTCTTTACTTATACCCTGTAATTCTAATTTTAAGTCAAACTCGGAAGTTTTGAGATTGATAATTCCTTTTGCTGACGGTCGAGACAGTATTATTGTAGAGGCTTCTTTAGCCTTGTCGCCATTTGGTATTCCATAACTGACATGTGGAGCAAGGAAACACTGCTTTGGGGGTTTCCATTCATCTAGACCATCAGCCAAAATAAGACAACGTCCAGATTCTTGCTCAAAAATACTATCGATCAAGTCTTTTCTTGGTGTAAGGTCTTTTGTTAACTCTTTTATCATTTCTACAGTGACGTCCGAACCGAAATATGACATTCTTCTTAATGGAATAAAAAACAGGAAATCAAATTTCCTCATCTGATCTTCATCATTAGTTAATGGGTCATACAAAGATTTATTAACCTCTTTACGAGCATTTGATGTATCAATAGAACAGCTGCTGACCGCTTTACACCAAGTTTCAATCATCATTTTACAGAAGGAGCTTTTCCCTGTTCCTACGTCACCCAATATATAAATTCTCCTATATGTGCGCTTGTCATTACAAAATAATTCTTGATAGTGATTAATGAATCTTTTTTCAGTATGGCTGGACATGTCTTTTCCCTTTTCTACTCGTGGCAAGCCATCACATTCCACGACTACCTGAGGTGTAACATAAATCTCTTGCACGTTGATATCATCATCCTGGAGTTTGAGAGGGGATACAGATACCTTTACGTAATAACGTTGATAAAGTTTAACCAGGTTCTGTTGGAGTTCTGTAAAATAAAGAGATATTTCTGAAATTTTTAGCCCCTTAATGGGTAAATCAAAAGCTCGCTCCACCAAACGCCTTTCTTAATTCAAGTTTTAGTATTGGGCTTGACCAACTATGTCTATAACCTACTTATATCAATGTCAACAGGCAAGGACAAGCCGATTCAGTAAATTAGATCAATCTTTATATGGTAAAGCTGTCTATGACTTACGTGACTTAGTGATATGAGTTATTGATATTAATATCATTTTTTACAATTTATATTAATGCAACAGTTTCCTTGACCTTAGATAAGCCATGTTTGGTCAATATCATGGATACCTTGATATCTGGCGTACTGACTTTTTTATTTCAAAGGGCTCATTAAGGATACCGGTATGTCTTATCTTGCCATCTAATTTCAGAACTGTATATCAAAGCATTCTTTGGTAATTGATCACACAAGCGTCCTGACTTTACAAAAGTACCAAAGCAATAGACCTCCTCAGTGGTGCCAATTTGCATATGCAAGTATTTCAACCGGTGCAAAGGGCGTGAGTTATGTAACTCGTACATCTTTAAATTTCATTTATGGACAAACTCAATCACACAAAGTCTGTAAATTTCAAAATGTTAAAAAAACTTATGTTTTCGATGCATTGAAGGAATTTTCCGCTTCCGTATTTATAATTCTGTCAGGCCACAAAAATTATTTCTTGTTATACGTGTTTGACGTGAATGTCTATATGAAGAATATAATACGTTTTTGTCTTTGGCTTTCTTTAGGGATTCTGTTTTTCTTAACTCTTTTCTATATGTACAATCCGTTTCTCATTTTTTTAAATCTCGGCCAGCTTGTTAAGTAACAATTAAAGCAACAAAACTCAGTGTTAGAATTAGAAATGGTTTCAAAGTAGTCGTCGGATACGGAATTAAAACATTTTATTATATTTAAGTAATCTTTAAGTTGATATTATATCTAAATACATAATATTTAATCATTTTTTTCTTTTATCTTTTATTTATTTATCTATTTATTTATTTATCTGTTTATTATTATTATTGTTTTTATTATTATTATGATTATTTTTATTATCATTATTATTATTATGTTATTATTATTATTATTATTTATTTTCATATATTTTTCACAATTACCTTCTTTAGCTTGAATATATTTCAGGTGTTGCGTTTGCTTACAACGTATGGCATCCATTTCTTCTTTTTTCCTTTCTAGATTCGACAGACGCTAAAAATATACCAGTACAATATTTATATCAATTTACAACTTTCACATACATTGTAATAATCATGTTATAAAACAATATGTATACTTAATTTCAATCTATATATTTGTACTATGCAGTTATATTATGACATGATTTGTAATATTGTTTGAAACAATGAATTTTATTTGTACCAAATTTTGAATGAAAACAAATCAAGGATATATATAGCCCTATAGCTGGAATTTAATCATAGTTTAAATAAATTTTTGTTCAAAAGATCTTAGCTTAGAGAACATAAACAGTATATAAATGATTGAATAGAATGAAAAAGAAGTTTGGGAAGATTCATTCGGAAACTAGTAGTTAGAACTGGCAACTAAGATCATGGAAATAGATTTTCCCCTAATATTATGCAAACGGGATTTTTAGTTTCTGGCACTACACTTGATTTTAATCTGTGAAAATGGGTCAAGTTGGTCATTCTAATACTGATGAAGGAGCCCCAATAATATCAACTCATCTGTGAAATTTCAATTTGATAGCTCCAATGTTTTTTTGTTTTGTTTTTTTTTATCCCCCGCCGAAAATTTTCGGCGGAGGATATAGAAATAGTCTCCGTCCGTCCGTCCGACCGTCCGTCCGTCCGTCCGTCCGTCCTTCCGTCCGACATTTTTGTCCGGAGCATATCTCTAAAAAGTATTTGAGTTATCAACTTGAAACTTCATAGGTGGATAGACCTCATTGAGGAGGAGTGCAGTGCACAAGAATGATAACTCTACCTTGCATGATTTTTGAGTTATTGCCCTTTGTTATTTTTCAAAATTGATTTTTGTCCAGAGCATAACTCCAAAAGCCTATGAGATATTAACATGAAACTTCATAGGTGCATAGATCTCACTCAGGAGGTGTGCAGTGCACAAGAATGATAACTCTACCTTTCATAATTTTTGAGATATTGCCCTTTGTTATTTTTCATACCTAATTTTTCACCTGAGTGGAGCATAACTCAAAAAGTGTTTGAGATATCAACATGAAATGTCATAGGTGGATAGATCTTATTGAGGAGGAATGTTGTGCGCAAGAATGATAACTCTTTCCTATACAATTTTTGAGTTATTGCCCTTTGTTTTTTTTCATGCTATTTTGTCCAGAGCTTATCTCAAAAAGTATTTGAGGTATCAACTTGAAACTTCAAAGGTGGATGGATCTCATTGAGGAGGAGTGCAGTGCTTAAGAATGATAACTCTACCCTGCATTATTTTTTAGTTATTGCCCTTTGTTATTTTTCAAAATTAATTTTTGTCCAGAGCATAAATCAAAAAGCCTTTGAGATATCAAAATGAAACTTCATAGGTGCATAGATCTCACTCAGGAGGTGTGCACTGCACAAGAATGATAACTCTACCTTTTATAATTTTTGAGTTATTGCCCTTTGTTATTTTTCATACTTAATTTTTCAATTCAATTTTTTTCTCAAAAAGTATTTGAGGTATCAACTTGAAACTTCATAGGTGGATAGATTTTACTGAGGAGGAATGCAGCACACAAGAATGATAACCTACTCTGCATTATTTTTCAGTTATTGCCCTTTGTTATTTTCAGCCATCAGTATTCACATAGGTTTCAAATCTGTAATCACTATAGCCATCAGTTTTCATTACCAAAAGACCTCTTAAAATGGAGTTATTCTGCTCTACTACATATACATTCTTCCAATGAGCAAACACATTCGGCGGGGGATGGCCATGTTGACATGGCTCTTGTTTTCATTATTTCCTGGACTATCAAAACCCTACGGCTAGATTGATGGATATTCTGAATACAGTATACTGCCCTTATTACTTTGTTTTGCTGGACGCATTTAATAAGAGAGGCTAATATAAAAGAAATAAGGCTTAAAATAACAGCAGGTGTCAAGTGCTGTGTGACAGCTGTAAAAAGTTGCCCCGTACTTCACTTCAGTGTTGTTATATTTTTCTGGTCCTACGGGATCATTGATGCCAGCACTATTAAGTGTTGAGAATTGAGTACCGCTCAAGCCGGTGCAAGGGGGCGTGAGGGGCGTCGCATTTATTCAGTATCCCTCATGTACAGACTTAATAAAACTGAGTCTGCAATTCTTATATAATTTTGTTGTGATTAGTGCTTCCGAGGGATCACTTTGTTTCCAGATTTTTTTAACACAATTACTTAAAAAAATAACTTAGTCGCTATGTTTCTCTGCCACAGTTTATGGGCCAGCAAGACTAACAGGCATATGCGTTACTGATTTTATCAACAATAACATTAAGGTGTTACAGCTGTTACTTTTAAAAAAAAACGAAATCAAAAATACCTCTTGCATCGATGCAACATTTGTTTCAAGTCTTTCGACCCTTTGCTTCAAAACTTTGCAGTAATTCCTCGAATCTTCCAAAACATTTGCTCTGACAGATTCCGTTATCTTTTCAATATTGTCTTTCAGCTCATCAGTATGCTGAATGATCGATGCTATTGAAGCTCTACATACTTCCGACTCGTTATGTGTGGTTATAATGAAACCCTTGTTCTTCAACTGTGTTAAATAGATATGCGTTTGTTTTTAGAACGTGTGTTTATTCTTAACTAATAGTTTTTCAAACTTATTATGATTTATACATATTTGGATTTCCAATTGGAAATAAAAAGAAAATTTCTCAAACACTTAAAAAAATTTTGAATATTGAAGTGTTTGATTTAGTATGTCTGATGTTATAAATTATACAACTAAATCGTTCAAAACCAGAATATATCACATCTGTACCAACAGGGTTTTGGCAAACTTCTCTATCATTTTACAGTATCCTTGACTGTTATAATTATAAGCAATTACCGAAAATATGATCGACATAATGTCTTCAATATCCGTAAAGCAACTATATCTTCTGGTGGTGTAGTTAATACTGACATTGACTATTGACTTACTGTTCTAAAAATCAATATCAACAAACAGGTAGTGACTAATAACATCATGAAATCAGAGAATTGAAGAATTATGATTTGACAAGTTATTCATGATGAGGGACGGCCACAGTGACCGTGACCGTGACCGTGACATTTTATTAACTAATACACTGACGGACTTTGAAAACGCATCAGCTGGTTTATTGCTTTTTAGCTCACCTGAGCATGCTCAGGGTGAGCTTTTAGGATCGATGATTGTCCGTCGTATGTCCGTCGTCCGTCCGTCCGTCGTCTGTTCACATTTCTCGGATGAAAAACTAGGTCACAAGAGCTAAATATAGAAAAACCTTGTTAACACTCTAGAGGTCACATTTTTGCCTCAATCATCATCAAACTTGGTCAGGATGTTTGTCTAGGTGATAGCTCAGATGAGTTTGAACATGGGTCATCTCGGATGAAAAAGTAGGTTACCGGAGCTAAAAATAGAAAAACCTTGTTAACACTCTAGCGGTCACATTTTTGCATCGATCATCATCAAACTTGGTCAGGATGCTTGTCTAGGCGATAGCTTGGATGAGTTCGAACATGGGTCATTTCAGATGAAAAAGTAGGTCACCGGAGCTAAAAATAGAAAAACCTTGTTAACACTCTAGCGGTCACATTTTTGCATCAATCATCATCAAACTTGGTCAAGATGCTTGTCTAGGTGATAGCTTGGATGAGTTCGAACATGGGTAATCCTGGATGAAAAAATAGGTCACCTGAGCTAAAAATAGAAAAACCTTGTTAACACTCTAGAGGTCACATTTTTGCCTCAATCATCATCAAACTTGGTCAGGATGCTTGTCTAGGTGATAGCTCGGATGAGTTCGAACATTGGTCATCTCGGATGAAAAAGTAGGTCACCGGAGCTAAAAATAGAAAAACTTTGTTAACACACTAGCGGTCACATTTTTGCCTCAATCATCATCAAACTTAGTCAGGATGCTTGTCTAGGTGAAAGCTTGGATGAGTTCGAACATGGGTCATCTCAGATGAAAAACTAGGTCACTGGAGCTAAAAATAGAAAAACCTTGTTAACACTTCAGCGGTCACATTTTTGCCTCAATCATCATCAAACTTGGTCAGGATGCTTATCTAGTTGATAGCTCAGATAAGTTCGAACATGGGTCATTTCGGATGAAAAACTAGATCACAAGAGCTAAAAATAGAAAAACCTTCTTAACACTCTAGCGGTTACAATTTTGTCTCAATCATCATCAAACTTGGTCAGAATGTTTGTCTAGTTGATAGCTTGGATGAGTTCGAACATTGGTCATCTCGGATGAAAAACTAGGTCACAGGAGCTAAAAATAGAAAAAATCTTGTTAACACTCTAGTGGCTACTGTTTTGATCCAAATATCCTGTAAATTGGTCTGAGAGTCTGTTTTGATGATTTCTAAGTCAAGTTCGAACATGGGTCATCTTGGATGAAAAACTAGGTCACACCGCCCAAATATGGAAAAACCTTGTTAACATTCTAGTGGTCACATTTTCGACTCAATTATCATCGAACTTGTTCAGGATGCTTGTCTAGGTTATTGCTCGGATGAGTTCGAAATCGCATTTGGAACTAGGTCACCGGAGCTAAAAATAGAAAAATCTTGTTAACACTCTAGTTGCTACTGTTTTGATCCAAGTATCTTGGAAATTGGTCTGAAAGTTTGTTTTTGATGATTTCTAGGTCAAGTTGGAATATGGGTCACCTGGGTAAAAAACTAGGTTTCACTACTCAAATATGGATAATCCTTGTTAACACTGTAGTGGTCACATTTTTGACTCACCTGTCAGGAGACTTGGTCAGAATGCTTGTCTAGGTAATTGTTTGGATGAGTTTGATGGGTCAGGTGAGCGATCTAGGGCCATCATGGCCCTCTTGTTTATAGGGAAGAGCATATATTCAATTTTTCTTTACTTACTTACTGAAGGACACATATGTTTAAAAAAAAATGTTACTGTCACTCTATTGTTGTAAAGGCAGCATATTAATGCATAACTGTTTCAAAACCCATCCATAATTAATTTATGAAAAACAACCATCTATTCATAACCATGACTTTTGACAAACAATTGTAACCTCGACCTTTGAGCCGGAAACCTAACATTAAAATGCAACATATTTACGCAAAAGTTATTTTGCTTTTTTGGGTTTTTTTGTTTGTTTTATGTTGTTGTTGTTTTTTTTTTTTTTTTTTTTTTTGGGGGGGGGGTTAAATTCCTCATTTAATGGCAAAATTTGACCTGACATAAACATCATTTCATTTTAAAGACAAAATTTCTTTTCCTAAATGAATGCAAATGTTATATTAGTAATTCTTGAAAAAATTGCATACAAAGCCAGGAACAAAATCTTCGGCAAGTTTTGTGAAATATCAAGGTCGATACGAAGTTACCACTCAACATGTTGTCGCAAAGCCAAGTCCGGAACAAGTACAACTCTTCGCAGTTAACACACCAACCAACGATTTAATGTCGAAAATAATTTCAAAAATAAAAGGTTTCTTCTTCTATTTCTTTAAAACACCATACATAAAAGGTCAGGCTAATTAAATCCCTAAAATGTAGTTCTAATTATTACAAGTTATCCGACCCTCTGCTCATTTTCTCAAAAATATCGACAACCTTGAACTTTATCACTTTGATTGAATAAATTCAATATGGAGGGACACTCTGATTCTCTCTGAGTCCTCATATATTTACAGAGTAGCAATATAAAAGTTCCAAGAATAGCTGTGTATTGATGTGCGAAAATTCGAAAAATCAGCGGATCTAGTAATAATTGAAGAAAATGAAATAGGAATTGCATACACGAATAATTCATTTTATACATTATCAAATACTACAATTCTGCTCCATAGGATGTAATTATTTGAAGTGAATTCACAAAAGGATTAACCTATTTGAAAAACGGAGATAGCTGTTAGAAATGAATAATTTATGTAAGGTCTGTTGTTAGTAAAATTATTTAAACAATAAACACATATTTAAGTGGTAATAAGTACTTTATGTGAAGTCAAATAACCTAATTATTTCCTAAAAACGGTGGGCAATTCATCAATCAGCATACAAATTGCTGATAAACAAGATAGGATGTACCTCTTTCAAGTTAGAAACAGCTTCTTTAACCTCGTCTAATGATGTCAGTTCCTTGTCGTCTCGAAGAATGTCAAGAACGTTATCTATGCATGTGTTTAATTCGGTGTCATCAATCTCCATATTTGGCGAATGGAATATATCATTTCGTATTTGCAAAGCCTGAAAAATAAGTATACATGTATTACAGTGAAAAACACTTCTCAAAAAATAATGAAGATCTAGCATAGTCAACAGGAGAAGTTTATTCTTGTTCCATATCAAATCTAAAATTATTACGTGTTGAATATGTCACATATTTTACCAATGGTGATAATTTTTAAAATTGCACAATAAATGTAATAGTTGCAGTGAACTTCCATGCCAAAACGAGCACATTTAGTAATTCTTAGATATTTGACACACAAAGAAAATAAAGATATAATTTTTTGTGTTTTCTTATCAGTTATCATGTCTAAAATTAAATAATGTGTATTTTCAATTTCAAACTGATTATGTTATTAACATAAATACCTTTTTCAATCTATCTGTTGATGTAACGCTGCATGAAAAGTGAGTGTGAAAACTAAAGTTGTTGATGAAGATATGTAATAACCCTGATAAGTCAACATCAGCTATGCCAGTTTTTGATAAATATCCCGGTGCTTGTATAAAGCATTTGGCTATTTCCCAAGGTGAAACAACCCATTTTTGTATATCTGTATTTCTCCAGTTGGGTTGAGGCGGTGTCGATGCGTGGTTGTTTAATACTTCTTCCAAAACAATATCGCATATTTTATTCGGACATGGTTTTGCTTTTGAATTCATACAACTGCAATGGGTTTGAACCAATGGGCAAGAAGGCCTGCCGCTGGATTGATCTTTAATGCATCTGTGTATTGGTCGTAATGTTTTGATACAACACTGGTTGCACGGGAGACCAGTTGTATGTCCTGCGACACTTAGAATTCTCTGATGTTCCTGTTTAACAATTTTATCTGCAAACCCTTTTATACCTTCTCTAAAATATTTCAAAGCTAATCCTCCTTTCACCCAATTTCTATACTTTGTTTTCTCTATTTCACTTTGATGACTCATTGTTTTATGACGTTTTAATCTTTATCTGACAGTTAATTTCGTTTCCCCTTCTCTTTCACTTTAATGAATAAAAACAAAAATAACATTTTTCTTCTCATCATGTAAAATTCAAGGTAGAATCAATCACAATTGAAACTGATCTAAGTCTAAAATCTGTTAAAATAACAAAGAAAAGAAAGTCAAAATAGCTCTTAAACTTAAAACAAACTTAAGGTGGGCACTATAGGGAACTGTAAAATTGACAACATAGGACAGTTATATGTCTTCAAGGTCACCTGTATGCAAACTTTAAATAAAATTTACCGTGTGGTTTATGAGTTATATGGATATATTTCTGAACTAAGACTTTGCCATTAGAAGGGCTTATTTTCAGAAATGAGGAAACTCTAAATAATCTATAATATCATCATTATAAAAAATGTTTTCCTATTGCTCATTGTTAAAAAACAAATAATAACATTCAGGTTACAAATTGCATGAACAAAATGTTTGTTTCTAAACAAGATGTTTAATGATAATTCAGACTATTGCTAGCAGACGCATGCTTATTGACACCTCAATTTCAATAAAGTTGACAAGTGACTCTTGCCTGTTGGAGGTAATACATTACCCATTATATGCATTGTATACACCGGTCTCTCAAATCAGTAAGACCGGTGTACACAATGCCATTATATGTTTTTAAAACACTCAAAAGAAACTATGTAAAAGAATTTCACAACATGTGAATGTTAATATGTTATATATACGTAAATTGTGTTGAATGTTTCATTATTGATACCTGATATCAAATAACTTCCCGATCGTGAGGACCTGCCATGTTTGGACGTTAAACCGAATAAAATGGACCAAGTCTTCCGGGTATTCCTACATTCGGAACAGCCTCGGCTATTGTCCTTATCCGAAGACTGACGGGCCGAGTAGTTCCTAATAGACTGGTGTCGCAGTCCACTCTAACGATATGGGAAAGGTGTTGCTAAGAGGTTCTGGGCTTGAGGGTTGCTATAAAAATACAGAAATACGCTCTAAGAAAATATTTATTATGAATGAATACGACGTCTGGCTCGCGCCATGAAAATTTTCAGCAGGAGTGCAAATACAAAATAATGACAAATAACACAAAGTCATGAATGGCAAAATGTAGAATTACAAGTATGGGATCAATACAGACATTCATATTTACCTATAAAAATACAGAAATACGCTCTCAGAAAATATTTATTATGAATGAATACGAAGTCTGGCTCGCGCCATGAAAATCTTTAGTAGGAGTGCGCATGCGTGAAGGTACTAAGTGCGGAAATAGAATATTTAAGATTGAGGCCCGTACCAATGGTTAGTACATACTTGTTAATAAATGAGTGAATGAAGAAATGAATAAATGAATGAGTAAATGAATAAAAGGATGAATGGATGGAATATAGGAAAATGGCACAAATTTGGACTTCACAAGATATATACATTACCAAATACAATAGACATGACATGGACATGTAAAGAACATAATCTACGGTGTACAATACGGGATATACATTTACAAATAACATAGAACATTAATACATCAATATGACCCTGCGACATCCTCCCCCTCATAGGGAAAATGTCGTCCTGATATTTTAAACAACCAATTCCAATAAATCTTACAATGTAAATGCTTCTGTTAGATAGACACTCACAGATAGAGTTCAAATGTGTACATACACAATAGGTGTAATATAAGTACTCAATCTTCTGGTAAATCAGCTGTTACAACTATCAAAATACTTCAATGAACATCAGACCTATAATGTTCATATAGTAAAAAATCTTCTTAGCAAATCAAATCTCGCTAAAGTTTTGATCTTATCGAATAAACAAACATCACTTACAAGTGTATGATGTACTATTAAGAAATATGAAAAACAAGATCAACAAGGAAAGGCGGCGTTCAATGAAACATATTAATTCACAGATGGCACTCAAGTCTGTGAAAAATAAGACTATCTAATAAAAGTACAATATGAGGCGCAGCTAAAGGAATCTTAAATTCCAAATAGTACCTGTATTTCACAAAGACGCTCTACATCTTAAATCTGTCAGTTACAGTTAAGCAACATATCAATATTCTTCCTGCAAACTCAAAACTCATATTAAAAGTATGTCAACAACAAATTTATGTTTAAGTACTCCAGTTTACAAACTTCTACAATCTCAAAATCAAACATATTGTATCATAATCAATCATATGATCAAAATAAAAATCACAATTCATACTCAAACATTTTCTCATAACCATTAAAATTACAGCAAACAATCTACAATCTGGGTAACGTAAACAAAGTGTTATGTCATCCACTCAGGGGAAGATAACCACCTTGGCTGTCTTTTGTTTCGAACTGGGCGACTGGGACAAAACGATTTGGCAAATGGGTTTAGCAAATGGGTTTGGCAAATGGGTTTGCGTTCATTGAACGCCGCCTTTCCTTGTTGATCTTGTTTATCATATTTTAGTACTGATTTCCTCCTTGCTGGGATTATGTACTTCTCTGGGGAAATATGTGAAGTAGGGATAGAAGCAGATGGAGTTTCATTCAAGGAATTACTTGACGAATCTGCGACTATTGGATCAGAACTTTGATTAGTGGATTCTGTGGACTGAATTTCACTAGAATCAACAGTCTGAGACTTAGAAGTATGGAGAGGAAGACCCATAAAAGGTAATAAGAGGTTCCTATGGACAGTCTTTGAACCTCGGCCATGCTCCCGTTTTACAACAAATACGGGTATGTCTGGGTTGGGTTGGGTTTGAACAATATAAACATCTTTGCCCCATTTATCGGCAAATTTGTTCTTACCATTTAGGCCAACGTTTCTGACCAGAACTCTGTCACCTGGCTCAATTTTGGCATGTCTTACCCTAAGATCATATCGTCGCTTATGGCGGCGGGACTGCCGCTTAGATTCACGGCTGGCTACTTTATAGGCGTAACTCAGGCGTTTCTTAGTCCCATGACATAGTTGGAATGATTCCAGGATTTTTCAGAATCTTCAGGTTCAATGCCAAGGAAAGCATCAATTGCTAGGCGTGGATGTCTACCAAACATTAGAAAGTGAGGTGTTAACCCGGTACTTTCATGCCTAGTCGAATTGTAAGCATGTACCAAAGGTGGTACATGAGCCTTCCAATTGGTCTTCTGAGAATCCTCAAGAGTTCCCAACATATTCAACAGGGTTTGATTGAACCGCTCCGCCATACCGTTACCTTGTGGGTGATATGGGGTGGTTCTACACTTCTCAATTTTAGCCAACTTACACAGCTCAAGTATAACAGAACTTTCAAAATTGCGACCTTGGTCACTATGTAAGCGACTGGGAAACCTGTAGTGACAGATGAACTGTTCGAAAAGGATTTTAGCCGTAGTATGAGCTGTCTGATTCCGAGTTGGTATAGCCTGAGCATAACGAGTGAAATGATCCGTTATGACCAGTATATGCTCATACCCATCCACTGGAAGACATTTCAAGGCATAAATAGTCCATACAGACTAACTCTAGTGGAAAAGTCTATTCAACAGAGATTGAATTGGGATTTAATCAAGGAAAGGGTACGGTCTCTACCGTAATGACCAAAGAATACATTCGTTCGAGAAAAGATTAGGCCACTCACGTAAATACTGACGTACTGCGTCTGTCTCATGAGAATTTTGACGACTGGTTAATTTATGACCGGCCTTGACAATGTTAGCTACTCTGGAAATGGTATGATCATTACACTGTTCTGTCAACCAATTGATGTCACTCAAATTGGAACCAATATCTACTTCTTCAGAGGAAGGTGTATCAGAGGAAGGTGCGTCTTATCTGTGATACGCAGGCTTCATAACCTCTGATCCCCTTTCAAAATTCCATTTTATTTTGTTCCGCCCATTGTTTTCTCGTTTAGGGCACACGGTTTTTATTACTTGGGGACCATACGCCGCTTGTCCTGTGCCCTGTCCTGCTTTTGTTTGGGTCCTCCTCGGCTCCTTGCCGCTGACTTTTGTTGCTGGGTCGGGTGGGGGCTGTGTTCATTGAATGCCGCCTTTCCTTGATGATCTTGTTTATCATATTTCATGGAATGGCACTACTGTGTCACATTGAAGGTTCCATGATAACCGCCGTATGAACACATCTGCGGATGTTTCTAAATTCAAAATTTTACTATTTAATGTTTAATTGTTGAATTCTGCTTAAGCCGGTGCTAGGGGGCGTGGACGGTAACTTGCACTTTCCAGTACCGTCCATGAACAGGCTCAATCAAACCGAGCCTGCAACACTTTCAATTTTGCCGTGTTGGGCCTTCTTTAGGGATTCTGTATTTATCTATTTCAAGTCCTTTTTGAGAGATGGAAACACACTCAAACGCAGAAAGTTCATGCACATCAGCTAATGTAGCTTGAAACAAAGCCTTCAAAACATCTGGATACATAATACGATTCACATCACTATCAATCTGAACACTTTCTGATGACCTTGATAAAATATCAGCATCAACATTCTGCTTGCCGGAACGATACTGGATAGAAAAATTGAAAGTTGCAAGAGCAGCTAACCAGCGACGGGACTGAGCATCCAATTTGGCTGAAGTAAAAGCATAAATGAGAGGGTTATTATCAGTACCGTCAAGGAATTTATGACCATAGAGATAATCATAAAATTTCTCCACCACAGCCCACTTCAAAGAAAGGAACTCAAATGAGCGGGGTAATTGCGTTCACTAGGTCTCAGTCCACGACTGGCATAGGCTACCATTTTCTCTTTTCCCTCGACTTCCTGATACAAGACCGCTCCTAAGCCAACACAACTTGCATCTATGTTCAGAATGAAAGGTTTGGAATAATCTGCATAGGTCAATATGGGAGCTGAAGTCAACTTTCTAATGACAGTCTCAAAGGCTTCTTGCTAACTTGGACCCCAATTCCAAGGAGCAGCTGGTTTTGTTGACTTAGCTTTCTTGTTGGTTGAGTGACCAACAAGTAAGTCATTCAAAGGTTTGGTGATCTGTGAAAAGCCATTGACAAATCGACGGTAATACCCCGCAAAACCCAGGAAAGAACGAAGATCTTTAACGGACTTTGGGATAGGCCAATCTTTCAGAACACTAGTCTTCTCAGAATCTGTTTGAACGCCATCTGCACTGACTACATGGCCCAAATATTTAACCTCGACCTGAAAAAGTTCACACTTGGGACCCTTAAGTTTAAGGCCATAATGCTCAAGTCTGGAAAACACTGCTGCTAACTTCTCAAAGTGCTTTTCAACAGTATCACTCAAAATAACTACATCATCAAGATAAATGAGACATTCTTTGAAATTGAGTTCACCCATGCAGCGCTCCATAAGTCGCTGAAAAGTGGCGGGGGCGTTAGTAAGTCCAAAGGCCATGCGATTACATTCATAGAAACCGAGGGGTCCTACGGTAAATGCAGTCTTGGCTTTGTCCGACTCCCTCAAGGGCACTTGCCAATAACCCGATCGAAGGTCTAACAATACTTAAACCGACAAGGGAATCGATAGTCTCATCTATACGTGGAAGCGCATATGCATCCTTGATGGTACGGCTGTTCAAACGACGGAAGTCAATACAAAAACGTACCCGTCCTTTTTCCTAACAAGAACTACATAAGAAGAAAAGGGGCTGTAAGACTCTCTTATAGCTCCAGCTTCCAACATGTCCTTAATGTGTTCTCTCACTTCCTCATAACTACCTGGGGGAATTCTCCGATAAGGCTCCTTAAATGGTGTAGGGTCATCTAACTCTATCTCATGTTCAACAGTACTGGAACAGCCAAGATCTGTCAGACCTGTGGAAAAAATATGTTTCCAGCCATTAAGGAAAGTCTTTACCTTTGAACATTCAAGAGGAGAAAGGGTATCAGAGGGGACAGTGATTCTTAAGTCTTCAAGTGTCTTGTCCTGGTTGTGAGATTTAGAATGAACAACTTCTGATGGATCAATATGTCGAACAACTTCAACTTCC